GAAACCTCTAACTTGGGACCAATTCTGCCAAAAACGAATGACGGAGTTTCAAGCATCGAAAACTCAAAGATAAGTTAAAACCTTCTATAAATTTTTCTCTTTTGTTCCGAAATGTTATGCATAAGTACGAAGTTCTATGTTTTGACGAAAGTCAATATGTCTCGGTTGAGACTTAGTTTTGTTTTACTTTATTTAGCTAAGGCAAAAGTATTATTTTCTTAAGTGTAAAAGCTAAAAACAAGCATTTTCTGTTGGTCGAAAGACTAATTCTGTTATGTTAAAGCCAAAATTTTGGCCGAAGATAAAAATAACTTCGTATTCTTGTATTAATAAGAATTTTACTTTCAGTGCCGCCAGCTTGGCGAAGAATGAGTAAAGTAAAAATTTATTTTCTCTTATTCATTTTATGGTAAATTGTAAAAAGCATATGTATTAAAATTTTGTAAATGTACGTAAATACTTGAATGTTATGTAAAAGTAGAATTTAGTCTAGAAGCATAAAATTGTAGATGCTAAAAGTGAATGCTTAAAAGCAATGAAGTCAAAATTTAAGTATTAAATTGTAGATAAAGTCATGCTTTAGAGCGAAAGCCTGCATGTTTAAAGATGAATGAGGGGGAAGTTAGAATGAATGTGTTTTGTAGGGTTCTCCACCTACATTTGAATTTTTAAGAATATTAAAGTAGCTCATTGAGTTGTAGAATGTCGAGTAAGGTGTGTCTATTTGGTCGTTGAATTCTAACAAATCATGGTGGTTAGGGGAAGTGTTGTAAGACTAAAACACGAATATTCCCGTTTGACACCACACACGGTGGTGGAGAGCCAGGGTAAAGTTAAATTAATGCTTGAAAAATTGAATGAATGTGAAGTAAGCAATAACTAAGAAAAACGAATCGTTTAAAAACAAAAATTTATTGTGTCAAGAAAGTGTAAATTATAATGTATGTAGAAAGATACTGATACTTATTCCTTCCAGATGCTGGAAGGAAAGACCAAGATTGATTGATGAAGTCCAGGAAAAGTTGCTGTAAGAAGAGAGCTTTGTAACGATCAACAGAATTTTAGTATACAAATGGTTACATAAGATTTTTTTTTTTTTTTTTCTGTAAACGAGGTTCTCGCCAGTTAGTTCAGAATTAGAGAAACTTACAACAGGTCGTTTGTAGGACCTGCTTCCAAGTTTTCCAATTTCTGGCAGCGGCAAATGTAGGGTTTATATTATTTTAACTAACATTTATTTTAAGTTTAAACTATCTTTCCTGTCCAAGCAAGCCTTACTTCCCCTGGAACTGCCAATGCCAGAATATGTAAATTTTAGTAGAACGCGCAAGGATTCAAATTATCAGCGGAAGTATTCTGATTTAAATAGAGAGAAACAAGTTCGGTGTGTGAGATTCTTACTTAGCGAGCGCGGAGGTAGTTAGCGAGAATTGAAGAACCCCGCGTTGCGGCCTATGTGCTTGGCGGGAAGTAGTGGTAATCGTTCCAGTGAGCTTCAAGTCTGCTGAATTAGCAGCGGTATTGTAAAACGCGGTGAGTTAGTTATTTTAGAGAGCCTCGTAGTTAGAATCTTGTCTTTACTTTCTTTTCAGGTTATTATTTTTATTTGACTGCCAAGTTGGCACAGTCTGTGAGCGTCAAGAGCACGCAATTGTAATTTTATTACGTTGAATAAAAAGGGACTTAAACCCTTCACAAGGCTCTATCTTTTATACAAGTTTTCACAGTCACCTCTTGGTTGCGTGCAAGTTGGAGGTGCGCAACGTTATAACTTGAAAGTTTTGTTTTCATGCAAAATGTCGCTTTAAAGAAGTGGATGGAAAACTATGTTTATGTTCTTTCCAAAGAAAATTATTCATATCTAGTTATAAAAAAATGTTGCGAAAGCCATGGTGTTTTTATATCTAAAGCTACGATAGGTAATGTTGTCAATAATAAAGGAAAACATCGTCAAAATTTAGCTTCAAGTGGAAAAATTGTTCTAAATACGTATCCAAGGAGAAAATAGAATGTTCGGAATGCTGCAAAGTAAGATATTTAATGTTAAAAAAAATCCGCCAAGGTCAAAGGACAGTTACAAAATCATTAAAGTGCTCAGTGTCAACTGTAAATAAAATTAATGCAAAATGAATCTTGAAAAGGCGAAAAAAACATAACGTGCATCATCTTTCTCCCTAACATTTTGCTGAACGCAGAACTCTCTGCAGAATTCTTTATGAGAAACATTTATCCAGATAAAAATGGAAAACTGTTGTAACAATTGATGAATTTTGAGTGTACTTAAATGACTGCAATAAAAATTGATCCATTTTTTTTAACATCAAAGAGGAGAAAAATCTCAAAACATGGTTCAAGGAATCTAAAGAATGTTTTTCTAAGAGATTAGTGATAGTTGCTGGGTTTTCATACAACGGAAAATTAAAATTAATGGCAATGAAGAAAAATTTTAAGATCAACTCCACATATTATCAAAAACATCTGCAGAATTCTTTATGAGAAACATTTATCCGGATAAAAATGAAAAACTGTTTTTGTAGTTGATGAATCTTGAGTCTACTTAAATGACTTCAATAAAAATTGATCCATTTATTAACATCAAAGAGGAGAAAAAGTCTCAAAAGATGTTTCAAGGACTCTAAAGAATTTATGATTGTTGCTGGATTTTCATACAACATAAATTAAAAATAAAGACAGTGAAGAAAAATTTTAAGAACATCTAGAAGATCTCTAACATCTAGAAAGATACTCTAAAAGGCTTTATTTTCTTCGAAATTACGGTGGCGAAAGATAATGAATATAAAATATAAAAGCTTTTACGTAAAATATGCGTATAATTACAATGAAAATCGTCTAAAAAATGTGCGAACCGCCTCTGAAAAGTTTAAGCATTACTTATTTTATAATTCTCTGTAGTCTAGATGATATAATAAGTTATAATCATGAATATTTTCTGTATTTTCTGTTAGTATTTTGGAAATATTTTCTGGGATGTGAAAGGTACAGAATACAACAAAATTGCAATAATAGTATACTTAGTTGCACAGAATGCCTTTACTTTTTTAATGGGTCAGATTGTAATGCAATTCAATATTGCACTAAATTCATCAGCTCAGCTATTTACATAATCTAAGCGCTTAAGATCGCTTTTGATATTAACAGTATCTTTGAAGGCTTTTTTTTACAAGTATATTATTCCATGAAACAGAAAGCCATCTGCAGACAGCTGCTGCATGAAGTGTACAAGACATTTCCTCTCCTTCCGTGTACCTTCGTAGTGTACGTTCGTATAGCACGTTCAGCTCCCAAGTGGAAGTTCAAGAGTACAAGCACCAGCGGCCGAGCGCTAAAGTCGCTGAACACTGATAGTTCGGTCCGAGGTTCGAATCCCGCGAACGGGCTGGCTGCATGGGTGTTTTCGTGGTTCTCCCCATGTGTAACGTGTATACGAGCCAGTTTCCCTTAGAAAGTCCTCCCCGAAGGCATCCCTCCCCTTAGGCAGATAGCCCTAGTGTGCTTTGCCATAATTAAATACACCACACCACCACAAGAGTACAAGTCCAGGCGACAGCGTAGCACATTTTTTCCGTCTTCTGCTTGGACGAATCTAAAGTGGACCACTACTTAACGCCTTTATTGTGTTACAGACCACCTCAGAAATAATTCAAGTAAAAGCTATTAACACTTTTATTTGTTATTACCTTTTTCATAAGGCAGAAAATTCTTTGTTCTGCTTATTTTAGGATTTATTCTTTACAGTTCTTATATGCATGTCACACTTTATTACTTTTCTTCCAGATATTTCTTAAGCAATCGTTAGTATTTTGTGATTTACCGTGCAGGTATTTATTCGTAGTTCAAATGTGTGCAAATTCATGGGAAAAGGTTTTATTTCATTCAACATTTCATTAGCTAAGACGCTACTTGTATTTGTATTATTTTATGTAACTTTCCTGATACAAAATGTTAACAATTTTCCCAACAATTTCAACTTTGGGAAATAACCCCCCGACGAAAATGCGCTTTTATCTGTCAACCTTTTCTTCTCGTGTTCGAAATGTTTTCCTCTGAAAATTTTTAATAATTAAAATTAAATTACAATGAATTAAAAGGCAAGCAAAAATAATAATTATCATTACTAAAAACTCTGAAATAAGTATCTAGTTTCAAATTAGAGCCATGTTTAGTTTAGCAAATGAAGGTAAATAAAATTTTCGTTTTGCCTATTCTAAATATAGTTATCAGATTTCGTATCTAAGTTTTCTAAGTAAAATTAAAACGTCTCCAGAATATTAATTTGCATTTCGAAACGAATATAATCTGAGTTCTGATGCAGCTTCATATTTTATCTGAAGCTACTATTATTTTAAATTATTATATTTTCGAAAAGATTTATTCAAATTAATTTTTGTTTTGAAGTTTAACAAAAAACGGTTTCCTTAATTATTTTCACCCTGGAATCTCAAAGGTGACATTTTAATCATATTTTGCATTTTGTAAGTGGTTGCACCACCTCAAACAACATTTTCTGATACATTCTGTGCGTAAAATAAACTTTATTTCTGTAAAATTTAAAACTCTGTAGCAGTATCAAAATTTATGTTGCTAAAACTGCTAAAAATATTGCAGCTAGCATATAAATAACAACTAATAAGTGCAATCTAATTCAATAAGATCTAACTTTGAAAACAGTTTTAAATGAGTGTCTTTTCAGAGCAATCGACCATGAGACTGTTCCTGAATAGAAACGTCATCATTCTAGTAATAAAAATAATACTTTCCTATGAATTTAATAATAAGAATTGTTACTACGGTTTTAGTTTACTTGAATTTAGAATCTCTTAGTTAAAGAAAAAGAACCTAAAAGCTTCACTCACTGAGTGCTAATTCATGTAATTTGAATACACTTAAAACACATTTTTCTTAAAGTATTCGATTTGTTATGCAATAAGCCCAAAAAAAGTCTTTTTAAGAAAACAAAAGATTTAACTCGAAAGCATAAATAATGCAAGAATTATTTATTTATCACATCATTTGGTTTATAAAGCATTTAACAGATTTAGTATCCATAACGAGCGTATCCCAGGCCTCCGAGAAGACCGCTGGATAGACCATAGCCACCCAAACCAAGTCCACGACTTCCTAGAATTTCGTAGCCAACACTCCATATCCAAGATCTCCATATCCGAGACCTCCATTTCCATGGATTCCATATTGCAGGCCATTTCCAAGATTAGATCCATAACTAAGTCCACCATTTAAGGAGCCCAGACCTCCGTAAACAATTCCAACACCGTTTAATCCATGAGATCCACCCGAACTGCCATATCCCAATCCGATTCCAGCATGAGGAGCGGCAGAGATTACTTGAACAGCAGCTGGGTTCTGGTTGGCGGTTCCTGGTTCATTGGTCTTCACCTGAGCCCTAAAGCCAGCGTGGTCGGCAACATAGTTCACCTGTCTGTGAATTCCTCGAGCATCGGTGAATCCGTAACTTCCTTTCACTCCGCTGACGCCGTCTCCGACTTCTTCCCTGTGCTGTTGACTATGGTGGTCTTTTATGTTATATCCAAATTTGTACGGTTGGGGAGCATAATGAGCAGGCTATAGACAACAGAAGATTTCATTTAGAGTACCAGGAAGACATCTTATGTAAATTCAGAATACAATTTTAGTTATATAAGCCATGTTATGTTGTTTAGAGTTAGGTAATAAATAAAACGATATTTTTTGTATATATTTACTGAAACGTGATTTCTCCTTGCTTTTATTTTTATGGATTAATTTCTATATTTAGTCTGAGTTTATAGTGATTTCTTCATCTGAAATAACTAAACTGTTTTATTCATCGATTTCAAATATTTTACTAAATATTTAACTCATAACTAATAATTTGTGAGAAATTTGTCCAGTTAACATACGTTTAGCTATATCCCGTTCCAGTTTGAGTGTACGTTATATTCAAAATAACTATGACATTATGAAATTTTACGGTTATTGATATCTGAAATACACAATAAAATTGCTATGAGAATAATATTAAGAATGATCACTGTGAAATTTTGAATAATTTATTTATATCAAAAGTTTTGTAATATTTTTCTTTGGTCTACATTTTTAGCGGTCAATTTCGATACGTTATAATAGAATTAAAATCCTTAACTAATTTGTAATTTTGGCACGGGCATTTCTTTAATATTCAAATTCTTCTTCTTTTATAACAACGCAGGAAACAAGAAATATTAAAAATATAAGTATTATTTTAAGCAACCTTATTAATAATAGTTAAAACGTTTGCTGAAAGATTATTTTCCTGCTTCTGTTCATATAATATTTAGAAGCACGTCATTTCGTTAAATATTACAAATATACGATTTTAGTCCAGTATGAAATTCAAATTTGTTATAAATTAGTTGGAAGGGAAAGTGGACAATATAAATTGAAAATTATACACGAAAAGCAAGAGCAAATTAGTTTATTTTGACGTCGCAGAGTTTGGTACAGTTTGAGGCAGATTATTATTACAATTCTAGTGATTCGATAACGACGTTTTGCTCCTAAAAGACCTATGTTTGATCGATATCCAAATTAATAGTTTTACTCAATAGCTCAGCCCCACTGAGGTTACGTTTTTCGCCTAATTTTAAAATTTGTCTTTCTAGTTTTGAATTAAACTAAGACTGAATTATCTTCACCGAATCTTAAAGTTTGACAAAGTCAGTTCCTATCAATCCATGTTTTTTTTTTTTTTTTTTTTTTTTTTTGAGCTTGGTGTTCATTAGAGAAAGAGAGAAAATTTCAAATCTTATATAAATGTTTTTATGGCAATTAAATGAGTTTTTTTTTACTTACGACAAGGGATGCGAAGGCAGAAGTAGCTACAATAGCGATAATAAAGGTCTGTAATAAAAACAAATATTTATTACATGAATGGTTATGTAATTAAATCAGATAAATTTCATACTATTTACATTAGTCAACACTGTTATTGTTTTCTTCGCAGTATTAATTCTAAAAAAGATTTTTTAATTATATAATTATATTTTGAGCCGATATGAGTAAATTAAAATTTTAGCCTCTCATCTTAAGCTGAATTATTTATTTTATTTCTGAAATAAGTTTATGCAGAGCTCAAAATGTTTTCATAAAATTTTATCAGATAATGGTGCTTGTTGTTGTTATTTATGCTCACTTGTCTGACAGTACCATCAGCCCAAGTGTACGCAATTCTTCGTGTCAAGGAGCGCAAGATACGCTTGTCGTTGGCAAGAGCCTTGAGCACCTTACAGGTGACAGTGCGATTTAGCTCAGTTATGCTCCAATTTTGATGGACAGCACCCCGGGCGACGGGTTCAAGTGTCTCGCACCCCTCTCTCCTTCCACCAAACCACACGAGATATTTAGAGCGCTGCCATGCAGCAGCAATACTATACATTTACAAACATCCATGCTTCTCTGAGAGATTCGAACCCGGGTACTTCGTTACGGCAGTCAGCGACCGTAACCGCTATACCGGTTGGGAGGGCAGTCTGAAGTGTAACTGCTGATTGTACTCTGTGATACTGTGAACACGAGTATTTCTGTGGAAAATTCCAGAGCTCTGACGCTAACCACTATACCGGTTAGACGGCGATAATGGTGCTAAATAGCTTAAATATTGTGCGACGTACTCGAAACTTTTATTTAAATTACTCTTCTTAATGCAGTGCGTTATTTCTATTCATAAATACAATACCGAAGCCATTAATACTGTAATTTAAGTACTCTCCTTTAGTGCGGTAACTTTTCGGTTAAATGCAATAATTGCGTAATAGTAAAGTAATACAGGATAAAATATGTGCACTAAGAAATTCTTGTGTTTTAAGCATCAAGCTAAAAAGTCGGTAACAGAAAGTATTTCTTATAAAGAATTTCTAACAAACCGACACTTACGAGGCCCTTATCTAGAAGCACCAAATTTTCAATCGTTTTATCGTTTAATTTGTAAATAATTTAACATAAATTTGTAATCCTAATTACTGAATTGAAGTCTAAAACGTTTCCTAATTGGAAATTCTTTATTTTTAGTGCAAAATATTTTTTCAGATTTTAATTTTGCAAATGGATTTTTTTTAAATGTGTACATTCCTTATCCACAAAAATTTTGAGTAAGATTGTTTTAAATATTTCTACTAAAAATCTGATTTTTCATGCTCATTAAGTTATATGCTATATTTTAATTCAATTCTTTTGATATGAAAATAACAATGAAATGGAAATGAAACAAATATTACGAAGCCTTTACCTGGGAGATCATGTTGACTGTTTATTGCTTTCCGATTTCCAACTGATATTTGATAAAATTTTGCCGGTTTATATAGTTTGAAAGTGTCTCACGTTTTCATCAGGTAAGGAGATTAATTTCTCCGGATGAATGGTTTAGCGTTCCAAGCAAATCTCGAGTTCCATTAAACAAGGTTAAATGTCTACAAATATGTGCAAAGAATGTCCATGAAAATGTTCCCTCATTAGCTGTGTCGCAATTTTATACGAATAATTCACATTAATACTCCGAATATAATAATGTCAGATATTTTTATAAGTGAAGCCGGCTATGAAATGCCGCAAAATGCGGTGACTGCCTATGATTCATTTCTCATAAAAAAAATTACTTCATAGAACAAGTATATTTGTATTTCAATTTTTTTATTTCAAATATTTTCTTACATTTATAAAATATAAATACAGCAATTTTACGTAATTTTGAAATGAAACTCCGTTTGTCATGTAATGTTAAAATTCAAACCCATTTTTCCCATATTCCATGCGTTTAGAATAAAAACGAATTTCGAATAGTTGCCGTTTTGAGTAGAAATCTTTCTCTCCCAGCCTGTGAAAAATTTTAAATTATCTTTAAATCATCTTTTGCTATACGCTTTTCAGAATGACAAAAAAGGTATCAAGATATTAACTGTAGTTCAGTTTCTATTGAAAAACTATCTTGCAAGGCATTTTATTAACCCTTCTAAATTATGTTAAAATTTTTGTGCCTAAAATTCTTATCATTCCTTTAATAAAGTTTTTAAATCTTTATTACTGTTTGTCATAGTTTTACGTTCTATTTCCTTTTGTTTCAGACGAAACGCCCTCTGTCCACATTTTCCTTCTACCGTTTCATGCCACTCGCAGTTCTTTCTTGTGTGTAAGTAGTTATCTTCCTGTTTTCTCTAAATTCATGCTAAAGAAGCAACTGAAATGACAGAAAGCTTGATAACAAATCCCACGCATCTTTGTACATGAATTTCAAAATTCAATTCCTCAAATATTTTTGGCGATTAATTTCCCATCTCAGTAGAAAATAACAACTTAAGTTATTATGATAAAAGTGCCGTATTGACACGATTATCGTATGAAGCGGATAGATTGTGGTTAGAGAATTTTATTACGTTAAGGCAGCACCTTTCGTTTACCCTTTCATAACTCTGAGTACGGTCTCTCCTTAACAGGGAACCTCAAACAGCAAACCGAGTGGTTAAGTACCGCCAATCACAGGTTAAAATCCCAATGAACGAATGGGGAATTAGCTGCATAGGTGTTTCTGTGGTTTTTTCCAATATAAATCAACCAGTTTCTTCTGAAAAATCCTCTACAAGGGCATCCCTCAGGCAGTCACATCTGGCGTACTTTCACACGTCCAAATAACGAAACCTAATTATATTTGGTTAAGTGCTTTGTTCAACTTTTGATATTAATACCCTATTTCGAATAGAATTTGAACCTGCACATCCTAAATCTCAAAATGCGTATGGCTAGACATCCCCGTACGTACTCAAAATACGTATGGGTAGACATCCTCGTACATACATGAGTAGATATCCTAAGCCAACTTTGAAGTTTGGAGTTTAAATTGAGCAAGACTTACTTTCTTCCTAAAATAAGACTTCAATACTCTATATCTTAAAAATAACGAATGATATGAAATAACGTAAACCAACAGCAGCATGAAAAATGCGAAAATTTTTCAGATTAGATTAAATTTACTTCGACTGCTTTTGAATTTAAAACTCTTTATGCATTTCAAAAGGCGGTCTGATACGAATCAATCTTATTCACATTTTTCTTAAAGGTGAGCATTCTGCTTCAGACCGTACCTCAGAAAAATAGATCTCTAAAAGAAATCAAAGCGAATTTAAGATTGAAAGTACATACGTATTAACGCAGCCACTTGGGACAATTTGGCGATTTTTAAAAGTTACTTATCGGGTTCGAGTTAGCGGGTTTTCGCGCCTTTTTTTTTTTTTTTTTTTAAGAAAGATTCCCGAACTATCGATATGAAGCGTAATTTTATCAACATTATCACCGTATAAAAAGAAAACATACTTTAGCAGTTTAAATTCAAAATTATAATTATTAAATAAGGTTTACGTGACACATTAAAATATAAAATAATTATATTCTTCTTCAAATTGTCCAGTAATTTTTGTGCGCTGTTCTTCTTCCCGTATACAAAGAACTGTTATATTTTAAAACTAAGTGTAAAGCAAGCAACATTAAGATTTATTTATAAAAACCGGTGGAATTTGGAATACAATAAATAAAAACGATACGAGACTGACATCGTTGGTTGACTTCAATATCGTTATGAGTATGGTTGGCGGATAATTACAGAAAATCTGGCGATTTTTACTCGGATGTTTGCGTTAATACTTAAGTGCCAGATTGAAGTGCATTAAGAAAAATACAAAGTAAGCAGAAGTGGAATTTTCTCAATTTTTTAGTATAAACACTGGATTTAATCTGGTAGGCCTGAATAAAGCTATTATAATTTGGACCCTTAAATTTGTTTTCAATGTTATTTCGTCAAATAAAAATAATTTCTATATAAAAATACAAAATAAAATGAAATTTTGACAGAGCTCTTTAATCAAAATACGTTCTTTCTTAATGACATAAGAATAACCTCTTCCATCACTTTTCGTTTTCTTTTACTTTCACTGTAAGAATCTAAGCATTAATTCTACTCAACCTACTAGTTTCATAAATACAATAATGGAAACGCAGAGCTTTTTTACACCGTTTTCGTACGAGTATATTTAATAATCTCCAGAGGAAAATGCTTTTTTTTCCATACAAGCATTCTTTTTTGAGAGTTTTTGACAAGAAACTGAATATTAACTAGCATAGTAACACTGACGTATATTTAAAGGATAAATCCAATTCAATTTACTTTAATTTTTTTTACATATTTTTTAAAATAGTTTTTGAATTTGAACTGATATTTCAGAAGGGAAAAAAGGAAAAAGTGCTTCGGAAAAATTTTTTGCAGAAAAAAAAATTCCCATCTGATTTTTAAATTTTGCATTGTCAATCTTTTAATAACAGTCCAAATTCTGTAATTAAAGCGAGTGAATACTTCGAGAAATAAAAGTATCAATTGATCAAATTCGAAGAGAAATACGTCAAAATTTAAATTTGCTGTTGTGCTTAATTTTTTATTTCCGTAGGTATTTTAAAGACAGTGTTACTTTGCATTTATTGCTCACATTTTTTCAACAATTTCAGACTTAAAGTCAGGGTGCAGCTTAAATTAAAAGCAAAAATTTTAGAATCCTTCCCCCCCCCCCAATCCGATCTCCTACTGCCTAACACTGGGTCTTTTCCCGAAGAAGAAAACTCGTCTTTTAAATGTTGCTTTGCTAATTATTTAAATGGCACTGAAGACAGTCCCGGATCTAGGGGGGGCAAGCTGAGGTCTGTGCCCCGGGCGGCAAATTCAAGCGTGGCGCTGGGTCGTATTTGGAATGTTGTGGATTTTGATACAACATCAGTAGTTTTAAAACTAGGTTTAAAACCTCTTTTAAGAATATTTATAATTAATTACTCGGAAATCTTTTAATGGAATTTTAATGGAACAAACAGTTAAAAGTAAGCTAAGTACAACCGAATACGACTCTAGTGATAAAATCACAGAGAGGACAATAAATGGACTCCAGGCGGCACTGGCAACATCAGACGACCCTGTCTCTCTGCCAACCCAACATGTAATTTTATTGCAAAGGTACTCCGTAAACTTCTTGGTCTTTTGTCCCTCTAAGTAACCCCCGAGTCCCTCTGTTATCCTCTCTCTCTAGGTGGGTATATTCAAATGAGAAACAGAACGATAGAGAGTCTTGTTTTCGTACCGGCATCCCTTGCAAAATAAATGGAGAAGTATTGTAAATTGTAACTCTTTCCTAATACCTAATACAAATTAACCTTGGACCAATGAAATAATTCAAATTAATGTACGTCGAGAATATATAACAGAAATGAAGTAAGGTATTTTAATTTTTTGCAGCTAATCGGCAACATAGGTTTTAAAAATGGATATATTAGTTTCATAGTTTTTAAAGTATTTTTTAGTTTTCTTTTTCTTCGGAGGGGGTCTGTTCTCTCATTTTCTTTTAATATGCCTAATTCCAATATTCCTCACCATATTTAGCGAGATGCAACAATTTAGTTAGCGCGCGCATCCGCGACGAGGCCCTAAGATTGTTGAGTGTAATTACGTCAATTTTTAGCGTTTCTTATTAAGGTAAGTTATACTGTATATTATTTAGGGTAAAAGAAATCATGAAAGCTTCTAGAAAAAACTCTTAGGGACAGAATATAGAAAAAGAGCAAAAGATAGGACCGAAACAGAGAAAACAAATTGCAGCTAAAATGATAAAAAGGCTTCACAGAAAAGACGAACCATCAGGCCCTGCCGCAACTTCCAAAGGTGTCGAGATTCTAAAGGATATTGATATTTCTTGCAATTTGAATGACCAAGATGAAGAATCTTCATGTGTCATCCCTAGACTACATTTCGGCACCTGAGAGAGCAACCCTCTTCACCGACCTCAAACGAACATCTAGAGCAGTGTTTCTTAACCTTTTTGGCACAATGAACCACTTTAAAAGTTTTAAATATGTCACGGACCCCTCTGTGAAAAAACAAATTGCTTAAACATCATTTATTACAAAATATATTCTGTTTTATTACTTAATTATATTAATATTTTTATTTCAATAGTATAAAAAATTTGAAGAAATTAAAATTTTTAATGTGAAGACTGTTGCTGCTTTCTGCTTTTCCTTGATTTACAGATTGAATTAAGGGATGGTTTTCGACAAAGCAACGCGCATATCATGTTTGATATACAGTCTATTTCGATGTTTTGTTTTTATTGTGACAAGTGTGGAAAATCCTGCTTCGCAAAGATATACTGTAGCAAACGGAATAATGGCTGCCATTGCTCGTTTTACAAGCAATGGGTAGGCTTCTCTTAAAGAAGACCAAACCTCTCCAAGAGTTTTTGAATCGAAATC